CCAGCCCTATATGTAATTTTTTACTGAACTATCATAATGCTTAATTTCCATTCAAGGCAAGGCATGTAAAATCTTCTATTTTGTTATCATCCATCTAAGTGGCAAAAATAATCTATTTGGTTCATTTATTATAGTGCCTACTTACTGTTTTAAAAATCTGGGAAATTGAGAATGATCTCTAAGTTATATGTCTGATATGACTGACCATAGAAGTTACTATATTTGTTTTTCCTATAATATCAGATTTAGAAGCAATCTTAGAGGCCAATGAATATAACTCATTGAAAAAGTCTGTAATGTATTTCTGCTTGAATATTTCCACCACAGTTCAAGGCAACGTATTGCACTGTTGCACTGTTAGCTATCAGAAAGTTTGTCTCTATATAGTGCAGAAATCTGTTTGCCGGTAACTTCCATTTACTTTGGCTAGTGCTGCCCTCTCCTGCTAGACTGAATAATAAATTTGCTCCCTTTACCATAAGATTATTTGAACACAATTATATCTGTCCCGAGATTTCTGTTCTATAGACTAAATATCCACAATTTTAATATTTCACATGGCATAATTTAAAGCGTCTTACAAACTTAGTTTCAATCAAGTTCATCAGTTATGATGCCCACAAATGAAGCAAAAATCACTGTATTATCTGCCTCATAAGGAATATTTCTATTGATGCCAGTAAAAATGTGTTTCTTAGTTGTATGAAACAAACTATAGCTGCTTTAAGCACAGAAGAATTTTATTTAAAGTCTGTTAGGTAGCTCAAGGAATACTCAGGATGTCTAGAAAACCAACCTCAGGAAAAAAATGTAGAAACTAGGAGAGCCTACAAATTCAGACTTGCAGCTAAAACCCTACCTCAAAACCAGTCTGGTGAGGTCACCTTTGCTAACGACTACATGATGCAATTGGCACTGTTACCAGGGCTGCTTCTAGAAACTGGCTCTTGCCCTTGCTATTGCTGTTGTCAGAGTGGACTGACACTGTCCCTGTTTCTTGTGTTGCCACTTTCCATATAGAGTGAGTGTGTCTCACTGATGAAATCTAGTTCATATGTTTTTGTTCAAGTTTCCTGGAAATTTTCTTGCTCTGTAATGAAGTCAGGCTCTGACTCCTAACAAAACTCTGGTGGCGCCATGTTCAAAAAATGGGAAGAGGTTTCATTCATTGATTAGCCAAAGTAAAGGCAAAAATCTTCTACAAAAACTGAAGTATCACTTGATTTTTTTTTTAAAACCACATCCCCCTACTGAGGCCTATGACAAACTAGCCATCAAAAACACCTACATGCTGTTTTCACATGTACTATTCTTAGTCCAGGATGGCAATGTAGTTCTCACTTTGGGCAGGGTGTAGGGGGAGGTTCTGGGAATAGAACCCAGGGCCTTTGTACTGAGCTACATCCCCAGCCTTTTTTATTTTGAGATAAGGTTTCACCAGGCTGGACTCGAACTTGCTATTCACCTACCTCAGCTTCCCAGAGTGCTGGGATTACAGGCATGTACCCCATACCCAGCTTTAGTTTTTACTTTTTGCTACATATGATAAAACTCACAAACTTCTTGTCTGAAAACTGCCCCTATACACATGCACGCATGCACACACATGCACATTCATGCACACCTAAATGGGTTCTTAGAGCTATGTTTTTATATAGGATGTTGGTTACAATTAATTGGCCAAAACATAGACATCCCCCTTTCAGTTTGGACAATCAGATTCTGGGCCCTTCAGCTGTCAGTGTTTGAACTAAAATGATGCAGGGTGGAAGAAAGGCCATATGTAGTCTCTGTATACAAATAAGTAAAGAGAGCTGGTATTCACATAAAGAAAAATTCAGATACTGAGATACAAGGGTTTAGCCCAAGAACATTACATTCATTTCTTCATTGAAAAATATTTAGTAAATACTTATTATGTGCCAGGTACTATTCTATGTGCTGGGAATACATCAGTGAACAAGTTATATAAAAATGTCCGCCCTGATGGAGCTTACACTCTAGTGGGATGAAGAGGAAAATGAGTATGAAGATAAAATAAAATAAATGGTGATTAGTACAATGGAGAAAATTAAACTAGGGAAGAAAGATTCAAGTAAAGGGGGTAACGCTGGATGTGGTGGCACACGCCTGTAATCCCGGTGCTCAGAAGGCTGAGGCAGGAGGATCACCGTGAGTTCGAGGCCAGCTTGAGCTACATAGTGAGTTCAGGGCCAGCCTGAACTACAAAGAAAAACCCTGTTTTAAACAAACTAACAAACAAAAACAAAACAAGTAAAAGGGATAAGGTTTTAATTTAAGATACATGCCTATATTGAGCTTCACAGAGAGGGCGGTATGTGAGCAAACTCCTGAAAAAGTAAACTATGCAAATATTTGGAGAACAAGCATGTTAATAGAAAGAACAGAAAGTGCAAAGGCCCTGAGACAGAGAACACTGTAGAGTAGTCAAGGAACAACAAAGAGACCACTATAGCTGGACCAGAGTGGCTGAATGGACTAATTATGTGGGACCTTGTGGGCCCTCCTGGCCATTTTCGATTTTATGTGAGCTGGAGAACCATTGGAAGATGTTGAGCAGAATAAGATGGCTACACTAATGCTTCAAAATGCTCGTTTTTGGCTTTTGTGTGATGAATGGGCACAGTTGGGCACAGTAGTAGTTGAAACATTGGTTAGGGAAGTAGTTAACCTAGGCAGGAAATGAGGGATGGGGTGATGGTAGAGCACTTGCCTAGGATGCTTCAGGCCCTGGGTTCCACCCTCAGCATAAATAAATAAATAAATAAAGGTTTAACCGAAAATGGTGGTAGTGGTGATGAGGAATGTTAAGATTCTTGATACATTTTCAAGGTAAAGTTCACAAGATTTGCTGATGAACTGGATGTAGTGTATAAAAAAAAGGAAGAGTCAAAGATGATTTCAGACCTTTTGGTATGACTTCAAAACTTTTGGTGTGAGCAAAAAGAGGAAGTTGTTATTTACTGAAATGGAATGGAATGAGAAGGGAGTATGTTTAGTGAGGTAAAATAAAGATCTGGTCTCAGAAAATTACATGTGAGAGGTGGGCATGGTGATGGAAGCTGAGGCAGGAGGATCACAAATTCAAGGCCAGCCTGAGTTACATAAGCAAGACCCCGTCTCAAATAAACTAACAAACAGTTAAGATATTTGAGTAGAAATGCTGAGTAAATAGTCACTACGTTTTCAGTGGAGTGGTCTAAGCCAGAGGTTCAAATTTGGGAGACATCGTTGTATAGCTACTTTACCATGAGATTGCATGAGATCACTAAAACAGTGAATGTAAATAGAAAAACTAAGGACTGGGCTCCATCTCTAGTGTTTGAAGCAAAGTTCTCAAAGTGTGGTCCTTATACCAGCAATATCAGCATCATCTGGGAACTTGTTAGAAGCATATATTTCCCTGCCCTATCACAAACCTATTAAATCAGAAATTCTGAGGGTAGAGCCCAGTGAGCTGTTTTAATAAGTTCTTCAGGTGATTCTGATGCACAGAAAATAATTAAAAAGTTGTTCCATGATCTAATCTCTGCTGATCAATTCTACAGGGAATTGCTAGAACTTTGCATGGCATCTTGATAGTACTAATTCCTCTGCCAAGAAATATCATTGCTATTTTCTTCAATTATTCCCTAATTTTTCAAAATTTAAATGAATTTTTTCTTGATTCCTTAGGTGGATTTTCTACTGTGAGTTCCAGATACATTCTGTAGATATCTGTATTCGCATAACCTGAATACCTTCAGTATTTATAGACAGACTAAATTATAGCACCTAAATTAATATTTTGTGTATATTTCGTACCTTCTGTCAGCTATCTATGCTTCCTGGAAAAAAAGTCTTTATTAATCATTAGACCTTAGGTGTTAAGCATTTAATTAAATGCAGATTTTTTTTTTTTTTTTTGAGATGTGGAGGAAGTGTCACTATTTTGCCTGGGCTGGACTTGAACTCTTGGGCTAAAGCAATCTCTCGAGCTTCGGCCTCCCAAGTAAGTATTGCGGGGCAAGCTAGCACCCCAGGGCTTCTTCAGACTTTTTTTTTTTTTCTGGTGCCAGTGACTGAACCTCGGGCCCTCTCACTAAGGTACATCCTCAGCTTATTTTACTTTACCTTACTTTTTAAATTGTATTTTGAAACAGGGTCTCATTAAGTCGCTGAATTACCCAGGCTGGACAACACGGTCGGTCACAGGGGCGGCGCCACCACGCTAGGCGCTTCCGACATTTTGACGAGACTTTTGTAAGAGCTTGAATACTTTTTCAGTTTTCAAAATTTATTAATTTGATTTAGAGTCCACTAACATTTTGGAAGTATTTTTGCATGGAATTTAGGGTTTAATGGCAACAATGACATTTTTCTTAAGTAATGCCACAGACATATCTTTAAAGTTTTCCCAACGGTTGTGGCGTTGCAGTCTTGCGTATGGGCCCTAGCTACTAAGATTTGTGGTAGCGTTTTGAATTTGAGGGAAGCGGAGAAACAGCCTATAGGGTGAAGACAAAGATTTTATTTCCCAGGAGTGCCAACAGCAAAGAGGAAAAATGGGTTCTTTACAGAGTAAGGAAAGCAAGGGCCAGAACGTTCCCAGGCAGCTGATTGGGTGTATATAAGGAGGGGAAAAAATACATAATTTTTTTGCAGTACTGCGGATTGAACCCAAGGCCTTTACACTGAGCTATGTCCTCAGACGTTTTTTCGTTTTTGTTTTTTTAATTTTGCGAAAGGACTTGCTACATTGCCCAGACTGGGCTTGAACTCGTGACCCGCCTTTTCATACTCCCAAAGCCAACACGTGGCCACGTTTGGCTGAGGGGTGAGGGGAGAAAGGGGAGGGTCATAATGGGTGGGCTTTTTCTCCCGCCTGATTTTCCGGGTTCTGATTGGAGGTGTGCTGAGTGTTCTACGCTGAAGTCCACCCCTTGAGACTTGGCAACAGTGAGGGAAATCCTGATTGGTGATCTGGTTAGCCAAGACTCTCGGGTTGGTAGAGGCTCCTCTGGGGCACGAGCCCTGCGAGCTCTGCGCTTGGGCTTCGTGGAGTCCCACTGAGGAGATGGCTACCAGGTCAAGCCTGACGGCTCCGTGGAAGGGGATGACAGCCTTTCAAGGCAGAGGAAATGTGTCCTTTCTAGATATGTCTCTAGGTATGTAGAACCCACATTCCCACCTTCAATCATCAGCGCCTTCTTCTTCAAAGGGAAGCTAACAGAACTCGAGTGGGGAGTAGCGGTGCTGCGAGCGGGACGTAGGGGAGATAGAAAGGCCAGTTTTTCAATGTATTTAACCCTCTTAAAAAATGACCCCCAGCTGCCTGTCCATTCACGTCGCGGGGCCACACACGCTCTTCACAGGGCGAGCGAGTGGCATAAATGACTAGACTGGAGGCCGGATACGGAGGAGTGCGGGAAAGACTGAGACGGGCGCGTGGGTGGTTGGTTTGCTTGTAAGTGTGTTTTGGTTCTGGGGATTGAACCCAGGGCCGTCGCCTCTTGGGTGGTGATTTCTTCGTTCAGGGTCATCTTTTCCCTCTGCTTGGTGTCTTCCCACCTCTTACTTCCCAGTTCTCCACAGAAATGAGAACCCTAAAAAAAAGAAATCTGCTACCGAAGCCCTTAGCCCTCCCCTCCCCCCACCACGCGCATGATTCCCGATAAAAGCAGGTTTAGCTTGGACCAGGCTCTCCCCTTGGCTGTCATCCACATTAGAAAAGAGCGCGAGTAGACTTCGTAAATGAGGGACGAGGGAAGGGAGTGGGGAGGTCGACTTTTGAAACTGAAGGGGCACAGCAGGGCAGGGAAGCCATTAAAAGTAGAAAAGCCGAAAGGAGGAAACTGAGACCGAAAGATTGTGAGATAGAGACTAGCCTGAGCTACAGGAGACATTGTTTAAAAAAAAAAAGCAGGAAGGGGGGAAATGAACCAGGACCCCTTTAGAAAAGAGGGGAAGAACAGAGCTGTGGTGGCAGGCCTGGGATTGGTAGGGGAGTGAGAAGGATGGGGGTTAGAAATTGGAGGTGCCACACAAAACCAAGCAGAGAGGTATGAATTTATAAATGGAAGGAGCAAAGCAGGTTTTTAATTTTGGTAAAGTTCAGTTTTGTGGTTTTTCCTTTGTTATTCTTGCTTTGGTGTCATATCTAAGAAATCAAATAGATTTACCCCATTTTTCCTTCTAAGTTTTCTAGTTTTAGCTCTATAATTTCCATCTTTGGTACATTTTGACTTAATTCTTATATATGGTGTGAAATAGGATCTAACTTCATTCTTTTACATGTGGATATCTAGTTGTCTCTGCTCCCTTTGTTAAAAAGATGATTCTTTCCCCTTACTGAGTGATCTTGATGAAATTATTTTCTTAATTTCATTTTTGGAAAGTTCATTGCTAGTAGACGTTAAGTATGCCTTATGTGAAGTGCTTGGAACCAAAAGTGTTTCAGATTCTGGATTTTTTGGGGTTTAGGAATATTTCCATACATTTTACCAGTTAAAAAGTTCTAAATGCTCTGAAATCTGAAACTCTAAAGTCTTCAAATAGTTTCAGAGCATTTCAGATTTCAGATTGGGGATATTCAACTTGTATATAGAACTAGAATTTGTTATCTCTGTCTCTATGCATTATATAAGAATTTCTACATACATAATAATAGTATCTGACAATAGATATATTTCTTTTTTCCAGTCTGGTTGCCCTGCATTTTTTTTCTTTTTGCCTTGTATTTTTTTTCTTTCTTCTTTTTTTTTTTTTTGGTATTTTTTTTTCCTTGATTAATTGCTCCAGATGGGTAGAATTTCTTGGGCTGGTGTTATGGATTAGATCTAAAATGTACCCCCAGAAGTCTCATGTGTTCAAAGATGGGGCTTTTGGAAGATGATTGGGTCATGGGGGGACTGTGTTCATCAGTGGATTAATTCATTGTTTTCATAGCTGATTGTGTTAAGAGGTGAGGCCTGATTGGAGCAAGTCAGTCACTGGGAGGGACCTGGAAGGGACCTGGAAGGGTATACTGTTGTCTTGAGCTTCTCTCTTCTCTCTCTGTTTCCTGGCTTTCATGGGTTGAGCAGCTGTCATCAACCATGCACTTGTGCTGTGCCTTTTCTGCCTTGGAGTCAGCCAATTATGCACTGAACCCTTTGAAACCATGAGCCAAAGTGAACAGCTCCTCCTTTAACATATTGGTGTCAGGTATTTTGCCCCAGGGACTGAAAGTGACTAACATAGCTGGAAATGTAGCTTAATGGTAGAGTGCTTGCTTAGCATGTGCAAAGCTCTGTGTTCTAATCCACAGCACTGAAAAAAAAATTACCAGCAAAATGTTAATTAGATGTGAGATAGACATCTTTGAATTATTTCTGATTTTAGGGAAGAAAGGTTTCAATCTTTCACCATTAATTATAATTTTAGGTGTGGAGTTTTATAGATGCCTTTATGAGGCTGAGGAAGTCTCCTAACAACCTCACCTCTGAGAGGGACTCACCATGAATAGTATCTAAGTCTTTTCTTGATCTTTTTTTTGCCTTTAAGGTGTTCTTAGTAATTCATTTCATGATTGGTATCAATAGGCTTTCCTCTTCTAAGACATAGTCCCTGTGGATTCCATAGTTCTGGATGGCTCCCAGCTCTAATATGATTATGAATTCTAAAATATTTTGTGACATTAAAATGATTTTTAGAAAACAATATTTATGGGCCAGGGTGTGGCTTAGTAGTAGAGCAGTTACCTGGCATTCATGAGGCCCTGGGTTCTGCTGCCAGAACTACAGAAAAAAGAAAAAAACATTGGTAATTGCTTGGAACTAGGATAAGGTAAGGCTCTCCTTTCAAAGTATAAAAAAAAATTTAAAGCTGAGTGTGACGGCATATGCCTATAATCCAAGCACTTGGGAGGCTGAGGCAGGAAGATTGCCATGAGTTCTAGGTCAGCCTGGGCTAAATAGTGAATTCGAGGCCAGCCTGAACTACATAGTGAGACCTTGTCTCAAAAAAACAAACAAAAAATTTAAAAAGGCTAAAACTTTGGGTAATGGGGGTAATTAATATTTTAATGAAAGGTTTTAAAAAATCAAATGGGAACACTATAGCTTTTTGGCTATTTTTTCAAACATAATTCTATTTACCTAAAAATTAAAATGAGACAAAGTAAGGCATAGTTCAGGGCCTGATCTGTTTTTTAAACTTCACATTTTGTTCATCAGTGATTATTTTTCCATTGACTTTTATTTTTTGAAAATTTTCTGTTAAAATATTTTTATCCTGATCACCGAATTTTGGGGAGCTTCCTGAATTTTGTGCCCTTTGCCTCACCTTAGGTTCTGTCCCATCACTGGGACCTTGAAGGCAGATAAACCTAAAGCTAGAGGGAATTTCTTTTCCCTGTACCTGGGATCGAACTCATGATCTTGCACTTGCCAGGCAGGCATGGCACCACTGAACTACATCCCTGGCCCTGCTAGAGGTAATTTATAGCATTGAGGTAAAATCTCATGATTTTACAACTTATCATTGTGTTGATGTTAATAATTAGTTCTTTAGCAGCTGCTAATAGAAGAAAAAAAATGACATAACCTGAAAAATAGCAAATCAGTTTTATGTCACAATTCAGAGATATAGGGGCCATGGTCACAGAATGGCCTGGTTTCCCAAAAATGTAGTGGTTGCTGTATCTCATGGGAGCCTAAGTTTTCTCATCTGAGTATGTAGTATCTATCTTGTAGACTTGTTGAGGATTAAATGAGCTAATACAGGCACTGTGCACAAAATATGGTTCTTGACATGTCAAGAAAGCTGAGTAAATATTTGTTGTATGTGTCCCAGAAAGTCGACCCTAAAGCCCCACTGCGGGGTAGCTAAAATTTTAGTGAACCTGAATAGTTAACCTCCCCTCTTGGGATTTGTTTATTGGTCTTTAGGGATGTAGTAGGTTTGAGGAAGACTTTTAAAAATCCAGGAGAAAGATGAGGTTTAGACAGTTGATAATGTAAAAAGCATTCTCTTAGATGTTTTCTCTCAGATGTCTGGAAGACTGAGGGAAGTGGCTGTTTGGCATAACTTGGATGATAGCAGATTTAAGGGACTTAGGAAAAATAACATTTAAGAAGATGATTACAGCTAGGAGGACACTGGAGAATCTAGTTTGGGAAAGACTGGTTCAGTCATATTTGAAAAACTAAGGAAAGGTGTTGAATCAAATATGGTAGGTTAGTTGGAGACTGACTATGAGAATAAAATGTAGTATTATAGGGTTGTAAAAAATGTTAAAAGATCCTGTTTCAGCCTTTTAAACACTGGCTGTCTATATACATATTTATACCATCTTAGATGAGAGTACAGGTTTTGATCTTTTCCGAGGAACAGATAAAACATTTTACTAGTTATGGGCCCTTCCAATATGAAGGCAAGAAAAATACATCATAAAAGCAAATGCATATTACTTTTTATGATTTAATGAGACAGCCATACTTTTCTGATACATTTCCCCTTGTTTTCAAAGTGAAAATACTAGTTTTCAACAATATCTGTCTTTGACTTTGGATAACTAAAATAAGCAATTAAAAAAGTTTTGTATTAAATGTAAGGATATTGCCTCCATTGTGATAAGTACTGAAATAGGACTCCACAAATTTATTTTTCTTCTTGTGCTTAGTAAACATACCCAAAAGATATTATAGTCCTTTTTAGAAATAAAAGGCAAAAATAAAACCAAGACTGGATGTGATAGCAAGAACTTAATAGGAACTGTGCTTCTCCGTTCACCACTTCTTTTGTTTGTTTGTGTCTGATACTGAGGATTGAACCCGGGGCCTTTGCACTGAGCTCATCTCAGCCTCCCTCTCCCAGGCTGGGTTCAAACTTGTGATTCTCCTTCCTCAGCTCACGCCTGTAATCCCAGCACTCAGGAGGCTGAGGCAGGACGATTGCCTCTGCTATATAGTAAGTTCAATACCAGCCTGAATGACATAGTGAGACCCTGTCTCAAAAAATAAAATAAAATAAAATAAGTATAAAATAGTACTTTCAACTCATTGTAAAATACAATATAATTATGCTTTTCACAAGAAGACTAATTACACAATTTGTATAAAAATTAGGCTGGGCATGGTGTTCTCTTTATTGTGGTCTGGCAGCTTTATAGCTTCCACTACAATAAATTTTCTTTAAAATAGGGACTTCCTTTATAAAGATAGTCAATGATAACATAAAAATTATTAGATAATAGAAAGGTTGATGCATTCCTTTCAAATAGCTGTCCAAGGGCCATGTAAATTCTGTATTATTTGAAAGCCTTGACCAACTTCTTGACTTCCTGTTATACCTAGCATATGGCCAAGCTCAGATAATGCTTTCCAAATGTGCTTGTTATTTGGTAGATTAACATGAGCCTATGCTAGAGATTGTGTGGGATTCTCCCTCATTATTGTCCCTAACCTTCACTACTTATACCTTAACTGTGATCCCTGTCTGTATGCTGAGAAGCTGACAGGTAGAGCTTTTTGTTATTTATATTACTTTTGTCTATACCCATAACTCCTCAGCACTAATCTTTCGTTCTAAACAAAACGATCTTCACCCTGAACATATTATATTAATTCCACGTCTTTTCTTGGGTTGTTTCTCTTTCCTGCAACGCCCAGATTTTTTCCCTCATTCAAATTCTATACATCCCGCCCACCTCTGCCACAAAGATTCGCAGCTGTTCTAGCACGCAGTAGTCTGTCTTTTCTCTGCAGTCCTGAAACATTCATTTTTTATGTCATTCAGTTGGTACTGTGTCATATGCAGGCAATTCACAGCTGGCAAATGTGTTGTTATGCTCCAGTACTTCATTTGTATGCCAACAGTTGGATTTATAAAGAATTTCCTCCATAGAAATAATATTATAAAGGGGGAATAAGTTTCTAGGGCAATGCACAAGTCTCTTTGATGCACCTAATAGCAAAGATATAATGCTGATATTCAGGTTGCAATGATCATTTATATTAATGTTTTATGAAATAATGTATTTCAAGGTCAAATAAATGCCATTCTAGAAAGGCATTTCCCACTGCCACAGTTCTAAGGACACCTCCTTCTGTCTGGGTTTCTCTTCTTTCTCAGTTTTGTGTAATTTCCTTGGTGATTGACCTGGGGCAAGGGGATCTTTGATAATCGGTGGTCCAGTGGAAACTAGGAGAGGAGTTTACTGCTTGCAAGTGTATGGTGGAAGAGGGGGAAGCTGCCATCCATGTGTCCCTTACATCTGAAGTATATAGGGAGAAGACTTCTTTTACTTTTCCCCTGATACCACCCTGGTGTAAACTTTATCTCTTTAATCTTGGGCTGTTGCAGTCCATCTGCCTCACCTCAAAATTGGTTTCCTTTATCATAGTCCCACTCTATTCTATAATCTGCAAATCATAAATTGAAAATTCCCCGAACCATCCTTTTCATAATCCCACTTCTATATTCCTTGAAGGATCTCTGTTGCTCAGAGCAGTTGTTTGTAGTCCAGGCCGAGTATCAAAATTACTTGGAGGATTAAAAAAAAATACAGTTACTTGAGTCCCGCTCTAGTACTACTGAGTCATTATCTTGGATAGAGGCCCTATATTTTAAAAATTTTCCCCAGGGGATCCTGATACACATTCAGGGTAGAGAACCACGAACTTCTAGCATAATGTTTAAAAAATCTTACCCTGACTTCTAAAGCCTTCAATGTTCAAGATACTCAAATCCAGTTCTGCCATTAGATAAACTTAGGTGAGTCACTTTACTCTCTCAGTCTCAGTTTTCCTATCTGTAAAATGTAAAATTGGTTCTTTTCTACAAAATGTTTCCATTGCATATTCAGGATGATTCTCAGGCTCTTTCTACCTGTATATTTTTGTTAACGCTATATTTTAGCCTTTTTTTTTTTAAAGAAAGCTAATTTAGGACATGATTTAAATAAAACAAATATGTGGATGATAATTTTCAAGCCTGAATTATAACCACGACAAATTTTCTATTTTTTTAAGTGAGCCAAAATTTTTTATATTTTTTATTTCTTGCATTTGAAGTACCCTTTGATGACATCTTTGGTCTGAGATTCTTTGCCATAGTCCTTAACCACTATACCATTGCAAACAACCACTTTACCCGGTTTTCCCTCTCAGCCAATTTTACAGAGGCCTACGCATTTCCCTAGTTTCTTGTTGTTATCAACCTTAATTAGGTCGATTTATTGTTCCGTACAAAGCGACTCCACATGGCCGAGAATGTAGCTCAGTGGCGCCGCAGCCTGCCTGGCAAGCACAGGTCCTGAGTCCGATCCCCGGTACGGCGGGGGAAAAAACAAAACAACAACAACAAAAAACAAAGGGTCTCCACTAACTTCACATACATAGGCTCATCACAGTTGGATATGAGATCACAAAAATGCATTTAGCGCTTGCCTAAAGATTTGGCAGCTTCATAAATTCCGTGTGTTAGGTCCTCATGGATGAGGGCGATCTCAGCACCTCTCCGGAAACAATACTACGGTCCATTACCACCACTACCAACCCTCTCAGTAGTGACTTTTTCAGCCACGGCAGTGGGTTAGGGTGTAATTCGAATCTTGGACACTTCCAAGTTTCCGCTTCTACATGACGCGGTGGCGGCAGCAAAAGAGCCCTTTCTTTTAAATAGAATTTCATTTCCCCGTGTTACAGACTGTCAGGACAAATTGCTATTTTCTATCGTGTAGCTCATTTTTCTGCACTCTGCTGTGTTTATCTTCCCTTGCACAAGTAACCCCTTTAAAGTGAAATTAAATAGTGGAATAAATATAACAAAAATGGAAAATTAACGTACCAAAGAGAAAATTGAGTAAGCGCACCACCACGTCCAGCTTTCTTAATTTTTTAATTTCTTTTTTTTACTGTTATATTTCAAAATAGATGTAATTAACTGTCTAGTATTTACATTTACTCAGTGTTAGCAATACATTGCTGTGACAAAATACCTGAGAATAGCAATTTAAAGGAAAATTATTTTGGTTCATGGTTTCAGAGGTTTCAGTTCATGGTTGGCCAGCTCCATTGCTTTTAGGCCTGTGGCAAGTCATGAACATCATGGCAGAAGGGTGTGGTGGAAGAACATTGCTCACCTCATAAAAGCCAGGAAGCAGAGAAAGAGCAAGGGGCTAGGGACAAGATATAGTCCCCAATGGCCTGCCTCCAGTACCCTACTTCCTCTGACTGGGCCCTACCTCCTAAGAGCCCACTCAGCTATGAATTCATCAAATCCATTGATACAGTTGGTACTCTCATGATCTAATTATCTCTCTAGACCTTACCTCTGAACATTGCTAGATGGTGGTGGATCAAGCCTTTAATATATGACTCTTTGAGGATGCTTTGTATTTAAAACATAACACTCAGAGGTGAAACCATTGCTCTGTACGTGTCTGAAATTAAAATAGCTTGTAGTAGTGGTGGTACACGCTTGTAACCCCAGCACTCTGAGAGGCTGAAGCAGGAGAATCACAAATTTGAGCCCAGCTTGAGCAACTTAGCAAGACTCTGTCTTAAAAAAAAGAGTAAAAAAGAGGGTTGGGGTAGAGGGGAGAAGAAAGAAACAAAAGGAAAGAAAGAATATTTAGTAAAATCATCTAAATAAATGAATTATTGTAATTTTGTAATTTTGGGGGGGAGGGGGTGTTCTTTGTGGAATTTTTGGTAGATGAGGTTGTTTGAAGGAATTTTTTCTTATTGTTTGAGGAAAATAACCCAAAACCTCTGTATTATTTGATATTTGTTATGGTTTTCCAAATCCATTATTATTATAATATTATCATATTTTCAGGTCTACTGATTTTTTAAATGTTCTGAAACATCATAAGGTAAAATGTTTCTCAACATTGTTGTCATTTGGCTGGTCTCATTTTCTCCACTTTTTTCTGTATTTTCTAATACAGATGACATTATACTCCTTAAAAACTCAGGAGATGGCAGCACTGAAGAAAAAAAGGGCAAGTTTGAGGATGATATGAAAAAGCCAGGAACTTCAGGAGAACAATCGGATGCTCATGAGCATCCCTGGCAGAGAGGTAAAGTACACTAAGAATCATACAATATCTTTTGAGTAACAAAGGTAGACAAAATTAAGAACTTGCAGTGTTTTTGTCTTTGGACCTTTTTTCCTATTTCAAATTGTCAATTATTCATTTTAATCATTTTAACTCTTGTTACACTATCAGTTTCTCACACTAGTGAAACTATTCGGTATTTACACATGTGTGTCCTATTTATTTCACTTAAGAGTATGGCCTCGATATGCATCCATTTAGCTATAAATGACTGTAGTTTTTCGTTCTTTATGGCTGAGTAGTACTCCATTTTATAAAAAAACCACAAAGAGGAAGGAGTGAAGGAAGGGGAAGGGGAAAGGAAAAGGGGGAAAGGAAAAACTATGAGAAAAGAAAAAAAATGGAAATGAAATCTATGTAAATAGGGAAGGGCAGGGGGTGAAGGGCGCACAGGTAATGGAGAAAAAAATAAGAACCAAGATATATCATGTACAGGTACGAACACCCAATGATAAATGTAAACGAATTGTATACCTAAAGTGTACCAATAAAATGTACCAATAAAATTAATTTTAAAAAACTTGCAATGTCGTTCTAAAGTTGCATCATGTTACTTATTTTATTTTTACTAGACATGGACTCATAAAGGGTTGGTATAACAAGTCAAATAAAAAAATTTGAATTTATATGAGTAGCTTCACTAAGGGAGGGCAGGATGAGAAAAATAGTTATATAGGCTAAGAAATGTTGTGTACCTGGCTGGTTAGTCAAATCCCAGTGTTATGAGGCATTATAGGAAGGTTAAGAGCATGGTCTATAATCTGGGAGCCATGATACCTAGTCAGGTTGATAGCCCAACTGGTTGTCAGGTTGATAGGCTGACTAGTCACTGGGCTATGCCCAGTCACCTGACAAAGGTACAGCAGGGGATGAAAGAATAATATACAAAGAACAAGAAATAAAGAATAAAGAACAAATGATAGTTTATTACTTGGGGGGCCAGGAGTTGATCTTTAGCTCTCTCCTGGCTAAAGACCACCTGGTCTTAGCTCTGTCCTGGCTAAGACCACAAGCACTAGGTTAGTCAGTATTTTTGACTATACAACATAGCACGGGGGTGTGAAGACAGATGGAGGTAATGGGAGTACTAATGCACTTAATGAGCTAGGCTTGGAAAAAGGGGAGTAACTATGGATACTTGTGAAGTACAGGTCACAGTTAACAAGCCTTCCGCGCTATCTTACAGGTCATAGCTAATAAGCCATTTGCATTGTCTAGCTAAAGTTCAATCTTAGAGAATGGTTGCACAGAATCATAATTCCTCAACCGCAGTGTTGCCATGCTATAGAGATGTCACAGCCTCCTCAATCATTGAGACCTCAATTGTGACCGTTGGCATAGGGAAGTCTGTCTCTGAACACCAGCCGAAAGATCAACTAGCAATTCATACATAGGCCTTAGAGTGACTCATAATCTTAATCAATAGCCAAATTCATAACCCAAATCAATAATATATAAAGCCTGCCCAGTGGTTTTCAAGCTGGTCTCCTGCAGTATACACATTTTAGTTTCTTTGTTTTTTTTGGATTTGGGGGTTTTTTTTGGTATCAGGGATTGAACTCAGGACCTGGCACTCGGAGGCATGCAGTGGCATCACTGAGCTAAATCCCCAGCCCTAGTATACACATTTTGTAACAGGAATGTTGTTGGGACAAGAGAATGAGGTAAATTTTGAAAAATGTCCTCTGGCCATACATGGTGGCTCATGCCTGTAATCCTAATACTCAGGAGGTTGAGGCAGGTGGATCATGAGTTCGAGGACAGCTTGGACTACATAGCAAGACCAAAGTCAGCCTGGGTTACATAGAAAGACCCTATCTCAAACAAAAAAAAGTCTTCTGTAGTCCAAACAACATTGATCAGTGCAGTGAATATATTTTAATATTAATGTGGTGCAGATTGCCATAGTAGAAATTGTTTCTTGGCAATTTTTTTTTTTTTGTACCGGGGATTGAACTCAGGTCCCTGTGCTTGCAAGGCAGGCACCAGAATCACTGAGCTAAATCCCTGGCCCCTAGAAATTGTTTCTTAATTTTTATTCCCAAAGGAAAACAGACAATTGGAGCAAATATCCATATGACTAATACAAGGCAGACAGTTTCTCACCAACTCTCTTTTTTCTATTGGAGTATTCATTCAGTTAATTTCAGATAACATGTCCCAGGCCAGAGATGTAGCTCAGTGGTGCCGCACCTGTCTGAAAAGCAAAAGGTCCTGAGTTAGATCCCCAGTGCCAAAAGCAAAAAATGAAAAAAGTCCCAACTTTGGTGACATATGAAATCAAATTTGAGTTATTGTATATGAGTTATCCAAAAAAACTTACCCTATGCCTTGGTTACTTTTCTCATGACTGAGACAAAATACCCAACACACAAAGTTAAAGGAGGAAAGGTTTATTTTGGCTCACAGTTTGTAGAGGTTTCAGTCCATAGGTGGCTGACTCCAAGACAGGGTGGCATGGCAGAGGACAAACAGTTCTTGGCAGGGTGGGCAGGAAGCAGAGAGCCTGCCTTCTTTCTGTTGCTTTATATTCCATCCAGGCTACAAGTCTATTGAATGGTACCACCCACACACAGGGTGGAGCTTCCCTCCTCAGTAAATCCATTCAAGCACACCCAGAACTATGTTAATCCAATCAGTGGACTAATCCAGATATCGCACACCCTTCGTCCATATGCACACACCCTAGATCCAGCCAATTCTGAAAAGCCCCACCTATGAGCCTATGAGTGCTTGAGGCTTTGAGGGAACATGTAGATACAAGCTATAATACCCTAGAAATAGTACAGTAAAGACTATTCTAAAATTTAGTGAGTCCTAGACATTAGAGTGATTAAATATCATATGTCTTGCAAAACCTAAATGTATAGCTTTAGAAAATGAGCTCATAGATAGTATTTTGGAAATATATGTTGAATTTACTGATTGAAAATACAAAAAAATAATTTTTCAAAGGACATGCAAAACACTCTAAGGAAAGAAGTGATAATGATAGCGAATCCAAATCCGGCCAAGAAGATTCTGTATCCAAATCTGGACAAAGCCCTTTAAACCAGCAGCCTTTACAAAAGCAGGTAAATAAATATCAAGAATTAACTGATAGAAAAGGCCCCAAATTTAACATGTATTTATTAATATTGAGAATTATTTTAAGCAGGGTATGGTGGCCCGAGACAGGATGATCGTTGCTAGTTCAACACTGGCCTGAGCTACATAGTGAGTTCCGTGCCAGCCTGAACTATGTAGCAAGGCCCCATTTCAAAAGACAAATAAAAAAGAATTATTTTAAATTATTTTGAGAGCCGAGGTTTTTTTGTTTGTTTGTTTGTATTCTTCCACGGTGTCTTGAACGTAATTTGAATTCTATATTTGTTAGTTGAATTTTTACCCCTCTGTTTTAATAAACATTTTAATTTTTGCTATTTTCAATCATCACTATAAAGTTTGAATTTCTAAAATGGTAAAATAGATTATTGGTCATTGTCACTTAGTCTATACAATCATTCTCATTTTTGTCCTCAGTACAGAGTCTTTAGTTTTGTTATAGTACAAAAGTAGTTTTAGTGGCCTTGTGTATTAATTGTAAAAACAAGAAGTCAGGTGAAGTAGGATATGAAATACAATCTGAAATCAACAGGTGGGACAGACTGTAGTACAATCCATCACCTCTAAACTTGAATAGCTGAGCTGGTCACTGGACAAAAAGGTGTTAATGTTTCAACTTGGCATAGAAATGGATTCTTCTTAAGATGTTATATGATCATAGTAAAAAAAGGTGACGATTCTGGAAGCTTAAATTAATTTTGTCAAATTATGTAAATGCAGTCTAGCCATTTATTTATTTTTGAAAGGAACATGTTGCATTTTCAAATATTTGAAGGATTAATTTAAATTGATTGAACAAATACTAATTCAGTGCCTACTCTATGCAGACACTATAGTACCAGAGCAGCTGGCTTCAAATAATTGTATATGGTGGTGAAAGAGAAAGAGAAGAAAGAGATGTAATGTCAGGCAATAAATATTGTAATAGGGGTTTATGTTCTACATTGCAGGGAGGTAGTAATTCATTCTGATGGAGGGGACTTGAGAAAGTTTGATGGAAGAGATAGCATTTGATCCATGCCTTATAGGATGAGGGTTTTTTCAAAAATAAAGTTTGTAAAGAAGAACTGAACTTCCTTTTGCTACAGTCAAAAATGCTTAAACAGAATAATGTAAAACTATTTTCAAATTGAAAGCATCTTTATATCACTTATACTTTTGAAACTTAAGACTGTAAGTATAGCAGAACTCACCAGAAAAATACGGTAAAGAAATTTAAGTATAATTATCTTACCAATAAATTGAATACTCACAGTTTTCAACGATGCTTTGCAATTCTAATAAGCTGGTTTTGTACTTTGCAAGATTTAATTATCAAGTGCTGGGGATTTAGTTCAGTGGTTCCGGCGCCTGCCTTGCAAGTGCAAGGTCTTAAGTTCGATCCCCGGTTCCCCTCCCCCCAAAAATTTAATCATCATATCTGTAGGACACAATTGTATTTATTCAACAATTCTTTTTCATAGAAGGTTTTCTGCTTGCTTATACAGAAAGAAAACTAATGTGCATTTTGTTTTTTAAAGGTAGGAAATCTGTGGCACTCAACTTGATGAAAATATTTTTTTTCTGGGGAGTGGTGGGGATTGAACCTAGGGCTTTGCACAGGGTTAGCATAGATTTTACAACTGAGCTGTTCCCTCAGCCCTGAAAAGATTTTTATGTAAGTATTTATGAAAAGACTGCAATCTCCAGTGGAAAGGTCCACAGGAGTTGGGCCTCAATTCTATCGTTCTTGATGAACCACTGTGCTCCCAACACTAGTCACTTGCAAAGAAGAGGTACATGTGCATTCCACCCAACCTACTTATTTAAGTTTTTTTAGAGAAGTGCTGCAGAGTGGCTATAGCTTTATTCTTTAGCAAAGCAATTATTAAAGTTTTCTGTGCATAATGTTCTTTGTGCTGGTGCTTTTTCTACTACTAGCAGTTGCTTTAAATTTCTGGCAATGCTATACTAGAAAGTTGTAATTCCAAATAACATATCAGATAACATTTGTGTAGGTAAATGTCAGATAACATTTACTAGTATAAAGCCTGATTCCTCAGCACAGTCCACATGGCTTTATCCACTTAAACTTTTATGAACCATCACAGAGGTTTGTCAAGTTTTCATTATTTATATTTGATTGATTTGCTCTACAGCCTTTTTGCTTTAAAAATTGAAAAGATAGAAAGGCTGAGTTGTTACCAGGTAAAATTACTTAAACAGTATTATGACAACCTTCTACTCCTTTTGTAGATTTTTTCCCCTTACTTGGTTTTTCTCTTTAAAATTATTTATTTACATTGAAAAGATGGTTTTTAAAATCAGGCAGAGTAACTGGTATGATTTTGAACTTTCCTTTGATCCTAAGGATTTGTACCATAAAACATTATTAAATATTGTCTCTCCTCAACAAAAGTCACATAATTAGTTTGTTTCTTTAGTACAAAATATAGATCTAGAAAATGTTAGGTAGAATTGACTTTTGGATATATTCAAATTCATAAAGCTATTAATATTCCATATTTTTATTAATTTATATGCATAATATTCTTTGTGCCAATGACATGGAACATCGGAGCTATTCTACAAGTTAGTTTTGAGAACTGGTATATAAAAAGTAGGGACAGTGGAATTCTAGAGGAAACTGTTTCCTATAGAAATGGTCTTGAAAAATGTCATTATGACTTAATCAAATCATAGAGTATATGTTTCATATGTTTTGTATAATCGGGGTCCTTTGCAGGAGAAATGCAACGATGATTATAAGGCTCAATTGGAGGAAAAAGAGCAACAGTCGGAAGGAAATCGAGACAACTTAGAGAGATCTCATGATCAACCCAAGAGATTTCATGGGCAATCAGAGAGATCGCATGGCCCCTCAGGGAGATCTCATGGCCACTCAGAGAAATCTCATGGCCACTCGGAGAGATCTCATGGCCACTCAGAGAGATCTCATGGCCGCCCGGAGAGATCTCATGGCCGCTCAGAGAAATCTCATGGCCACTCAGAGAGATTTCATGGCCACTCAGGGAGATCTCATGGCCACTCAGGGAGATCTTATGGTCAATCAGAGAGATCTCATTGCCAGTCAGAGAGATATGGAAGATACTTTCCAGGAAGAAGATTCAAAACATCATTCAAAAGTGATTCTCAATTTGACGGGTAAATATACAATGAATACTTAATCATAATTACAGTGTGTTGGGTAATGTGGAAAGGTAAAGGCATGCTTTGAGTTTCTATATTTTAGTAGATAAATATCTCCCTGTTGCAACAGACATGTATTGGGACAAAAGTATTAATAGAACAGAGGTGATATGTACATCCTTATCAATGTTCTTTCAACTTTTCATGTCTTCTAGCTGTCATCCTATTTCCCAAGGTGTTCCATTCAGTTATTTTGTCTGAATCTGCTTTCCATGGCAGAATCCCATGTACTTTTAGCCTTTCCTACTAGGTCTACTCCAAAATCAGAATGTATTGACTCAGTATCCTATTCCCTTTGGACCTTCCAACCTGGTAGAAAGCTAATATAACAACAAATAATACTAAATTGATAATATATAATTTATGGTAATGAATTTCTGTGTTTCCCTTCTTTATCTTTTTCCTAAAGAGTCCTCAGAGTGTCTTTAGCAGACAAATGATAGATATGTCTTTGGCCAGCTGAACTTTTCAGCTTTCCTCAAATCAGACCATAGGACAGGATGCCTATTCTCTCCATGGATGCAATATTAACCTCCTGAATATATTCTGAATACATTATATATATTTACTGTTGCCTTCTGAAACTAGTAGGATAGGTCTGTCTATCCTAGCAAAAGAACTAGAGAAATTTAAAGAGTACTGTGGATTTTTTAAAAACACAGGGCATTTGGGTCAGGGATTTAGTTCAGTGGTTCCACCGCCTGCCTCGCAAATGCAAAGTCCTGAGTTCAATCCCCGGTATCAAAAAAACCCAAAACAAACAAACAAACAAAAAACAAAAAACCCACAGGGCATTTTATTGTAATTTGTTATGAATATTTATTTTTAGTTTGAGTTTCTCAGTGATTGGCCTCAGTTTGCATCATAATTGTCTGGTCAAATTTTTGACTTTATATTAACCACTGCACATAATTGCCAGTTTCAGTTAAAATATTTCTAAAATGAGTGTTTTGGTTATTGTATGTACATTCAATATCTGATGTAGACATCACTTTCATATAAAGGCTCCACCCCACTTATATTAGCAGTACATACATAATTTGTTATGCAAAATTAAAACATGTTTGACAATAGTGACAAGCAATTTGAATATCTGCATTTATTAGGGATTCTCACATTGTACTTCATTTTGCATGTTAATTTTTGTCAGGTGGTATAAGACTGTCATTAAAGCACTGAAAATTTCATTTGAATTATTGTCCAGTGATATATTGCCATACCTTTCCAAATACATTTTATGAGCAAAGTCCTAAGTTTGATCCCTAGCACTCCAAAAAACCAAATTAAAATATAATAAACAACTATTTTAAATTTTTTCCATTATCTTTTACTACTACATTTTAGGGCCGGGGATTTAGCGCAGTGGTTCCACTGCCTGTCTCACAAGTGCAAGGTCCTGAGTTCGATCCCCAGTACCAATATATATATATATATATATCTCCTCAGCACAAATAAATAGTACTTGAAAGAGTCATCAAACGTAGCTCAAGGGGAAGGCCCCAGATTCAATCCCCAATACTGAGGGAAAAAAGACACTTGATAATAATTTTATCTCCCCTCCCCTTTCTTGATATTACATTGACAGTCAGCTATCTTCTTTGGCTGGCTTGATAAATAGAGAAGAATAGCAGAACAAACCCATTTTTTGTACCTCCACTAAGTAACTTACACAAAATGAGAGACACAATCTGCACATCTTAAATTAGCTGACCTGTTCATCTGATGAAAGCTTTTCTAAGCTAGAAATATCCATTTAAGTCTTTTGCCCATTTTAATCGGGTTATTTGAGTCTTTGTTGTTGTAGGAGTTCTTATGTATTCTAGATCCCTTGTCAGATATGATTTCCAAATATTTTCACCTGTTATGTGGATTGTCTTTACTTTGTTGGTTGTGCCCTTTGGTACACAGAGGTTTTAAAATGATGACATAGGGCTGAGGATGCAGCTCAGTGGTAAAGCGTTTGCTTAATATGCATGAGGCCTTGGTTTCAATCCCCAGGAGCCCAGATAAATTAATTAATTAAATTGTGATATAGTCCTATTTGTATAATTTTGGTTTTGTTGTTTGTGCTATTGGTGTCTTGTCCATGAAATCACTGCCAATTCTAACTTCATGAAGCTTTTCTCTTATGTTTTCTTCTAGGAGGGTTGTTTTCTTTTGTTTTTAATGGTGCTGGGGATCAAACCCAGTGCCTCATGCATGCTAGGCAGACACTCTATCACTGAGCTATATCAACAGCCCTCTTCTAGGAATTTAAGTTTTAGGTCATATCGGTAAGTTTTGAATTCATTTTGAGTTAACTTTTATACATGGTGTAAGACAGAAAGACATTCCTTTGCTTACAATCCAGCTTTTCCAACACTATTTGCTGAAAGGAGAGTCCTTTCTCAGTTGTGTGGTCTTGGCACCTTTGTTGAAGATCACTTGACCATATACATCAGGATTTATTTCTGAGCTTTCTTTTCTAATCCAGTGGTCTATTTGTCTGTCTTTATGCCAGTAGGATGCTTTTTAATCACTGCATCTTTGTGGTATGTTTTGATATGAGAAAGCATGAGCCCTCTAAGTTGGTTTTACTTTTTGAATTTTGTTTTGGCTATCCAGGGTCCTTTGAGTTTCCATATGAATTTTAGGATGATTTTTTTGTTTCTGTAAAACATGCCATTAGGATTTCAATAGGGATTACGTGGAATTTGTAGATCATTTAGGGTAGCATGGACATCTTCGCAGTATTAAGTCTTACAATCCAAGAACACTGGATCCCTATCCATTTCTTTGTGTCTTTTAAAATTTCTTTGAGTGATGTTTTCAGTCTGAAAGTCTTTTACCTTATCTCTTTGGTTAGGTCTATTCCTAAGTATTTTGTACTTTTTGATGCTATTATAAATGGAATCCTTTTCTTAAATTCTGCCTTGAATTGCTCATTGGTAGTATACAGAGCTGCAACTGATTTTGCATATTGTTTGTATCCTGAAATTTGGCTAATTCTATTTATTAGTTCAAATGGCTTTTGGGGGGTTGAGAATGTAGCTTAGTTGTAGGATGCGCACTTTTCATGCATAAGGTCCTTAGGTCCAATCTCTAGCATTGGAAAAATGTATATATCATGTGTGTATGTGTATGTGTGTCTGTGTGTCTGTATGCAAAACCTTTAAGGTTTTCTACATATAAAATCAGAATTTTACTTCTTTCCAATTTAGATGCTTTTTTTGAGACAGAGTTTCACTATGTAGTTCAGACTGGCCTTGAACTTACTATGTAGCCAAGACTGGCTTTGAACTTGTGGTGATACTTCTGCCTCAGCCTCCTGAGTGCTGGGATTACAGGCATGTACCATCACACCTGGTTAATTTGGATGGCTTTTACTTCTTTTTCTTGCCTAATCAATCTGTATAGAGCTTCTAATACTATGTTGAATAGAAGTGGTAAAAGCGAGCATCCTTTCCTTTCTCTGGTTTTAGAGGAAAACATTTCAGTCTTTCATAATTAAATATGATTTTGGCTATCAGTTTTCGTAAAAGGCCTTTATTATGTTGAGATAGTTTCCTTCTATTCCTAGTTTGCTGATAATTTTTCTCATAAAGGGATGAACAGATCTTATCAAATGCTTTTACTACACTAATGCAGAATGATCATGTTCTTTTTTCCTTTATTTTATTAATATGACATTATATTACTTGATTTTTGTATATTGTACCATCCTTGCATTACATGAATAAATCCCACTTACTAAGTTGTATAATTTGGTTCACTAGTATTTTGTTGAGGATTTTCATGTCAATGCTCATTCACGATTGTGCTCTGTGGTTTTCTTGTAGTATCTTGTTTAGCTTTAATATCAAGGTAGGGCTGGCCTCATTCAGTGAGCTTTGAAGTGTTCCTTCCTCTTCCTCTTCCATTTTGGGTAAGAATTTTGAGAGGCTCAGTGTTAATTTTTCTTTAAATGTCTAGTAAAGGGGCAAGGGTTGTAGCTCAGTGGTAGAGTGCTTGCCTGGCATGCACAAGGCCCTGGATTTGACCCCCAGTACTGAAAAGAAAAGTTGAGTAGAATTGTCCAGTGACATCTTCTGGGCATTTCTTTGTTGGTATGGTTTTGATTACTGAATCATTCTTTTTACTCATTATTGATTTTTTGGAATTTCTATTTCTTTATGAACAGAAATCTCAGTAGATTGTGTGATTCTAGATATTGATTTATATCTTCCTAAGCTGTCAAATTTTTTAACATAAAATTATCCATAATATTCTTTTACAGTCCCTTTTATTCCTGTGACATCAGTTGTAATGTATCCTCTTTCATTTCTACTTTCAGTTATTTGAGTCTTCTCTCTTAATCTAGTCAACAATTTGCCAACTTTGTTGAACTTTTCAGAAACTAAACTTTCATTGTTATTTTCATTGTTATTCTATTTTCTATTTCATTTATCTCTTTTGTTTCCATCTGCTATCTTTGAGTTTAGTTTGTCTTTTTTTCTAGTCTGTTGGGATATAGATGTTAAATTGTTCATTTAAGATCTTTTTAATACAGTATATGCATCACAGCTATAAAGTTCCTTATTAGCACTAATTTTGCTGCATTCCATAAGTTTTGATATGTTAAGTTCTCATTTCCATTTCATTTGCAAGGTCTTTTCTGATTTCCCTGTAACTTCTATGTCCTATTGGTTGTTTCAGCATGGGCTATTTAACTTTTACATATATTTATATATATTACATATTACATATAATATATATTATATATTTCCTTGTGTTGTTGAGATGAGAAAAGTTACTTTGCAGCAGAAGACATAGTTTAGCGGTAGAACATTTGCCTAGCATGTGTGAGGTCTTGGGTTCAGTCTTCAACATTGGTTTTAAAATAGGAGTGGGAGAAATAGGGAGAGGGACAGGGACAGGGAGAGGAGAAGAGAAGAGAGCTGGGGATGGAGACACACTCCTATAATCCCAGCACTGTG